CTATGCTGCGCTACTTTAAAAGCCCGCCCTTAACACGCCTCTCTGAAGCAAACGCACACAATATCATTTCACCAGCGAGGGGATAAATAAATGAAAACTATCGCAAAACGAACTTGACATAAGCGGACGTTTCATCCTTATAAAGATTTAAAAAGTCTCCAGCATCGATATTTTACCAATGATTTACGATTTAAAAAGTTACAGTGACAGTAATTTAGGCTATTACTTTGTGTCAGAAGTGCGCATCAGTGATGCTAAATCCAACTAATATGTTTAATTATTTTACATAAAATGAGAAAACATACTTGTTCAGTCACGGCTGCTCCATTTATTTGTAATCACAAAAATGCATAAAACAACTCAGTCCATTTAAGTCCAAAGGCATACACGTATAACACAATAGAAAAACATTGATAATCCCATGTTTGCGTCAACTTCCTTAGAAAGATGGAGAATTCATATACATTTTCAAAGAAATAATATAATGTGAGGATGTTTGTGCGCTGTCCTGTTTCACTATAGGCTACTGTTATCCTTTCAGTCAAATTGTGTGAGGTGCAAGAGCATGTCAGGAGAAGTAGAATAATAATTAATTACTAATTTGAATCATTACACAATAACGAAAACAATACCTTAAAAATGAAAAGAAGCAGGTTTTTGCGATCATTAATGGAAACCGATAAACTCCTGGAAAGTCCAAGGATACAGTAAGTGAATTCAAACTGCTGGACAAAACAGCGCTAATGCAGAGAAAAACAGGCCAATTTCATCAGAGATTGTGGAGAGAATAGTGACTCACGTCCAGATGTCAGTAAATTATTATTTTCATTGTGTATTTGGATTAAAAGCAAGAATGCTTTATAATGGACGCTGACTGGCTGAGGTGTTATGCGGTGGTTAAGAAGTTTAGCTATTCTGAATGTATCCAGTGGAGGTTTAGTGGTCTTTGGCATCTCTCTGTGGTCCTGTTTGGTATCGCAGCTTGATTTATGGTTATTTGTATTGAAAACGTTTGCTTAATTACTGATTGATTGTGGCACTATACACAGCCTACATTGTGAATTATGAAAATGAAAAAGTAGTTATTTAAAACAAAAAATAAATAAATTGGGTGATCTCTTTTATTTTTATCACTATTTTTATTTTTATCACTACGCAGCACTTATTTGATTACAGTCGTTACCGGGGAAACCCGCTCCAACAGCGCATCCTGCTGGTTTTATAATGAATGCCGGCTGAAGGTGTTTTAGATTATGCGCTGGTCTGTGGTTTAGTTATTCTGAATGGATCAGTACCAGCACTTCTTTTTTTTTCCACTTCAAGCACTGCACAGAATAATTAAAAATTCATTGAATGAAAATGGAAAGACCATTTAAAAGAAACTATTGAAGGCAAGTAATGGTGATCAATTTTCAGTAAAGATTTAGACTACCGTTCAAAAGTTTGGGGTCAGTAAGATTTTTTTAAAGAAAGAAATTCTATTCAGTAAGAATGCATAAAATTGATATAAAGTGACAGTAAAGACATTAATAATGGTCCAAGATTTCTAATTCAAATACATGCTGCTTCAAATAATTCAAATAAATGCTTAAAATATAAAACAATAAATGCAGCCTTGTTGAGAAGAAGAGAAATACATATGACCTCAATCTTTTTAATAGTAGTGCATGCTTTCCCTCACATATTCATGCCAAACTTAACCTATAATCTTGATGTTAATAATAAAGAAAGCATGGTCATGTTATTCACATCTACCCAATTAGTGTATATGGGCATAATATGTTTGAGTTATACGGTTTTGTAGACATATAGTACCACATTTATGTCACTGTTTCTGGAGATCGAGGTCTGTAGTAGATCTCAGAATTGACAAAATTGTAATAGCAACCAATTAACACCAAATATTATTTAAATTTAATGTACAAAATTGTGTAAACACTTTCTCACTGAGACTGACATGCTGGGTTTTTAAGCAGTTGCTTTTGTTAAAGTGGTAATCAAAAACATATCAAACAATCAAATCTATATGTTTATAGTGTGCGACATATATATAGGCCTATATATATATATATATATATATATAGGCCTATATATATGTCGCACACTATAAACATATATGCTTGATTGTTTGATATGTTTTTGATTACCACTTGATGCTTGGTTTATTTAAATTCATGGGGCTAAAAATGTGACAAGACAAGTGGCCCCTCGCTTTGAATGGACATGATGTTTCTGAGCAGGGCATCGATATATCTGTGTGCAAGCTGTGAATAGTGGTGTCCATTTTGAACACATGGGCCGGATTTAGAAGGCTGCATCCATGTTATATTTTTGGCACATTCAATGTCACTGATACAATAAACGAATAAAAAATAAAGCGTGGCCAGTACCTTAAGCACAGGACTGCCGTGACAGACCTGCCGTGGCGGAGCCCTAATGGAGGCACACAGGTTTGCCTCAAGCACCTCACTGACTTGTCAGAGATAGTGACATAACAACTGGCAGCCCACTAGAGCCAGCAGCCCTCCACATCCTGAGCCATTTCAGCCGACATTTGGCATTTGAAGCTTTCGAATTGAAAGGCCAAAATAATACAGAGAAGACATGAATATGTTCTGAGTGTACTGGTGTGTGTAAGATCTGTCTTCAGAAATCTATTTTGATTCAGAATTTTTCCAGAAAAAATATCCAAACATCCATAAGGCAAGATACTTGATACAAGATAAACTAAATTTCAATTAAATGTAACATATAATTCTAATTTATTTGAGAATACCTGTTTTCCGAGAATATATTTTGAATCAAGTTTATTTTCCTTATCCTACACTCAGAAAAGAAAAGGTACAAAAACTGTCACTGGGGCAGTACCCTTACAAAAAGTACACTTTTGTACCTTATTTATCCCTAAAGGGTGAACATTAGTACCTTAAAAGGTACAATTTAGTACATAACGTGTACATATTTTCCCCAAACAGGCTTAAAATAATAATAATTAAAAAAAAGCTTATAGGGTATGTTTTTCTGGAAAGTAGTTTTTATGTTTTTCCAGAAATGTATTTTTTTATTTAAAAATTTTTTCTGTGTCTTTATGAAAGGCCCAAACCGCGTGGAATGTCAAAGACTTTAATCTGTGAAGGAGAGTCTCTGTGACTGAACCTCAGAAACACACCACAGGAAGCCTGAAGGAGCTCGTGCTGCTTCAGATGTGATAGGGGTTGAGGGATTTGATATCTCGGTGTGGTAATGCCACATACAGCTCATGTGCAGCTGCAGGCAAAAAATGGAATTCTGATGGAAATGCAAGAAAATCCCCAGACGTTTCAACAACATGCTCAGGTTTTTTTTTTTTTTATGTTTCAGGTGTTTATATTTCACAGAGCAGCTACAGTTTTCTGAGGGACACAGCACAGATTTATCTTCTTCTTTCTCAACATTTGCTCATAAATATTCATGAGATGATTCCTGAACCTGCATTATTGTGCTGCGTTGGATGATTGTGCGGTTATCGATGTGTCATTGATCAACAAATCACTGGTAAAGCAAGATGTCTTAATGAATATTCAGAAGCAGCATCAGTGCTGTCCTATCAGGCATTGACTGAAGCTGACCTGGAGATGCAGTGCAGGAAAGGATGAATGCATGTTGTAAACAAACAGCATTGTGAAAGTTTCCTTGAAACTACTAACAATCTAAAATTGTTCAAAAACAGTCAAGGTATAATTTTGACTACATAGAACTACTAAAAAGTAGTTGACTACAGTACATAAGATATAGGGGTAACAGAGTGCTGCATTATGTTCATTTGTTTCCAGCTGTGTCCCATTTATTCCCTCGTTTCGTTCATTGGTACTTAAGCCCTGTGTTTCCCAGTGTTGAGCGTCTAGTGTTAAACGTCTCATCTCCTGTGCTATGTGTGTGTTCCTGTGTTTGGATTAATAAAGATTGCCTTTTCGTGAATTCTACTAAGTCTCCTCGCTCCTTCGCTCCTCGTCCCTACACAGTAGGCAACACCGTGACACAGGGAGGATGTAAACAAGTTAGCATGTAGCACTTCCAATTCCATCACCCCAAAGTCAATGGGTTTTTTGAAGAGGTGTTTGGTTAAATGCCTGAAACAAGGTCGGTAGTTAACACAAGCTGAATATATTTTCACAGTAACCCTCCTTTGTGAGTTTTTTTTAAAAGCTGCTAACAAGTGGCTAAATTTAGGTTGTTGAGGACATTAAACATCATCACACCGAACAGGTAAACTCATCTACTCACTAGTCCACTTTTACAGCCTTGTTGTGTTTATAATTGCACATTTGCTAATTATTTTAAATCAAATTTTGACAACTGCTGCACAGTAGTCAAAAATGAATCTGTGAATCGTTGTTTTAAATGATTCATTTAAATGAACCATCCAAATGAGCTAAAGAACTAAATAAACGAAATAATACAACAAACAGATGTCAGAGGGTGAAAAAAAAGGAAATGGAAAGCTGATAAACTTACGTAGAGAATGCATTGTTCTGTTTCTCGCAGCGGATCCCCTTGCAGTGGTTGGGTTCATCGGCTGCCTCGGTCTCGTAGTAAAAGTATAGCTGGTTAAGTCCATTGGCGAAGGCCAGCAGCACTAGACAGTAGATGAAGAGGAACTTGAGGATGTCCAGCAGCATGCGGCCAAGTGAGATCTGCAACGGGCCCAGGTGAGAGTTGGCCGTGAAGAGGGAGATGAGCCGAAGCGAGCTGAAGATGTTAGCGATGGCAAACAAAGCCTCAGCGATCAGCGTCGGATGCCACATCTCCCATTCCTCTCGGGGACGAGAACTGTTATACTAGAGAAGACAACAATTTCATTATTTAGTTTCATTGTAAGAACTATATGCTGTGCCACTTTAGTGCATTGAAATAAGCACTAAACCATGTGATTTAAAATGTGCTTTACACAAGTATGTAAACACAATTACTTCTAGTTATGTAAACTTAATGCAATAGTAGTGCAAGACTGCATTTATTTGATCGGAATACAGTAAAAACAGTAACATTGTGAAATATTATTACAGTTTAAAATAACTGTTTTCTATTTTAATATATTTTAAAATATAATTTATTCTTGTGATGTTGAAGCTGGATTTTCAGCATCATTACTCCAGTCTTCAGTGGCACATGATACTTCAGAAATCGTTCTAATATGCTGATTTGCTGCTCAAAGAAATATTTCTTATGATTAACAAAGATAGCGCTACATATTTGTTTCATTTTTACTCATTAGTGTATGTGCATTGGGACTATGCTTACTGATGGTTAGCCAAGTCTTTGCATATTTGTGTAAAGTCCATTTTTAGCCTTATTCACATACTTTAACACCCACAATTCAACATAACCAGGTGCTAAATGCACGGGTATAGCGCTGCATCGTGCATACTTAAATTCATTGCCAAGTCACTGTCATTTGTTTCTGGGCAAATAAGCCTCCTTTTTATGCAAATGTGGCTCAATGGATCGGATTCACATACATGAATGGATTGGCTTAATTGCCTGCTGCAGTTAATGCTGCGCTACTTAAAAGGAATGTTTGTGTACATTTTCTAGTGATCATGGCAGTAGTAATTCATCAAATGGTGATCAGAAGATGGAGAAGAGTGTAATAACTACATATCACATATCTACACATACTGTAAAATTTTGCTATTTTAAAGAGTCGATTTAAATGCCTGGATTGCAGTGGTGCAATAAAAATTGCAATCAGCACGTGATTGCACCATTAACTAACGTGATTTGCATAATTCATTGAGTGAATCAGGTGCTGTAACAATACCGACAGCAGACACAAATGACACAATACTATCAGCAGGTTCAAATCCCTCTTAGTGAATTCCTTCTAGACATTTTTGGAATGGTTTGGTGAAGAATAATGGAAATGTTCAATGCGGAAACTACAGTGTGTGGAAGTTCTTCCATTAGTTTTCGTTCTGGATCTGCCTCAGTCTTTTTCTAGGCAGTTGAGTCAAAGGTCTAACAGATTCTTAAGACATTTCCTGAGCTTTTGCCTTGCGTAACTTCACTTGAGGGTGGAACGAGACGCCTTCTCCCCTCAGCACCATCCCTCAATTCCATGTTTCAGTAGGCAGAGAAATAAGGCTGGCTTTTCAGTGCCAGGCATGGCTGAGCTCTTCTTGCTTGAAATTCTGTTCTCTACTGGGACTAAGACCACAATATTAATTGTCTAATAAATTCACCCCCTACACACAAAAAAATAGAGTAGAAACAATTTTCACTCAGAAATTGCAATTAAATTTCACAAACAATTAAAAAGAAACAGCAAGTAACGCTGAAAAAAATGTGTTTTCACTCAGAAATTGCAATTAAATTTCACAAACAATTAAAAAGAAACGCTGAAAAAAATGTGTAAAAAGTAAAAACTGAAAAAATTAAATAGTGATTTACAGATTGTTTTTTTTACAGCATATTCCCACGTTTTGGAATCGTTCTATAAAATAATAATACATGTAGACAGGAACATTCACACTAACATTTATAGCTTGTAAACGTAATTCTTGAGAATGTGTCCAAACACAAAACAGAACATAAATTATATGGCTTGGACCATTTATCATTTCGCACATTTATGCACACACACACATGCTGTAAGTGGGCTGGAACCCCTTCCATGCAGGGTGACTAACACAGCTGCAGATGGTCATGAAGTCTGGAGTGTGTCTGCGTGCATGTGCTCGCGTGCATTCGAGTGTGAGCGTGGATGACTGAATCGACAGCAAAACATTTACAGGAGGCGCTCACCTTGACATACGCGACGATCTTTAAAGATATAGTGGCCAAATAAAGAGAATTCATGGCAAAATCCATCAGGTTCCACCAGTCATGGACGTACACATTAAAACCTCCGTCCCACATCTCCTTAATCTCAGCCCATATAAAGCCTATGAGCAAAACACACAAACATACAGGCCTAAACTTGGAATACAGAATATACTGGTTATTGGAAAATATTTTTCATTTATTGTATCAGTCGATATAATTGGATAGATATTAGATGATATTGCATTTTTAATTCTACATGCTTATTTTCCTTACATTTAGAATCAAAATCAGAATTAGCTTTATTCGCCAAGTGTGTGCAAACACACAAGTAATTTGTTGTGGTTTTTTAAGGAGCTCTTGGTACATACAGGTGCATCTCAATAAATTAGAATGTCGTGGAGAAGTTCATTTATTTCAGTAATTCAACTCAAATTGTGAAATTCGTGTATTAAATACATTCAATGCAATTTATTTAATACACTAGTTTCACAATTTGAGTTGAATTACTGAAATAAATGAACTTTTCCACAACATTCTAATTTATTGAGATGCACCTGTACATGCATACATACACGACATGAGAGCAAAGAACATTTAAATAAGTAAGACTAAAAAAAACAAACAATAAATAATAATACTGTGATATGAATCTGAAACAGAAGAATTATGTACAGATTTGTGCATTATTTACTCTATATACAGCTGTATAAATAAAAAATGCATAAAAACAGTAATAATTTAATTACACTGTTAAATGTAATCTTTAATCTGCTAATCTCACAATTAATTTCTATTTTTCATATAGTACATAATACATAGTACATAATGCTTTGATGTCTGAATTCACTTGTATTTCAGTTTTTAGAGTTGTAATTTTAATTTATTGTATCAGTTGAAATTTACATTTAAAATAGCTTTGCCATCATCTGACACTTCAAGTTAATATTTAGAAACACTAATAATTTAATAACAGTTAAATGTAATCCTAGCAAATATTACAAAATAAATCCATTATTAATGCTGTGCATTATAACACATGCCTGAATTCACTTGTATATTTATTTTAGTGTTTAGCGTTTTATTTGTCATTTTTAATTTAGACAAAATATATTTTCATTGGTTATCGGCCATAATTAGAAAATAATTTTCTTTGGAATAAATTTCTTGGAATTCTTGGTATCAAACTAAATATCCATGCAGCTGCACACTATCCACTGTCAATAATATATTTTATTAAGTACTGCATGAGAAACTTTAAAATTTATTACAAACTAAATCAAATTCGATTGCGATTTCAATTGATGTTGGTTATATTTTGAATAGATTCAAGTAAATGTGAGAGAAAAATGCCTGAAAACACTAAAATAAATATCACACCAAAGGTGGGAATAATTCACAAAATAAAGTTGAAAACAATGTTTTTTTTTTCATGGTTTAAGGCTTAAGTAGCTGTAGAACTTTATTACTTGGGTTAAGGGCTAACTAAAAATCCCTGACCTGAATATTTGAAGAATATCAATACAGTGTTGACTTGCACACAATTTCATAATATATTTCATTAACAAAATTGATACATGCTCTATGACCTACATCCCCATGACACATCCAATCATACTCACCCAGCACCCAAGGTAGTATCATCCACTCCACCACAGTGGGCGGAGGGCCCTGCATGTGTAGGTTGGTGCGTGCTATGTGCTGTGAGGCTAGGAGGAGGAGGAAGAGGAAGGTGAGGTAGGAGGCTGTGTGGCAGATAAATTTGATGAAGGGTTTTTTAATGAAGAGCCCCAGTGTGCTTTTTGGAGCCAGCAGGTAGACCAGCGAGAAGACAGGGAAGAGCAGGCCGATAATGAAGCACATGACCAGCTTAACTGCCCAGTGACGGCGCCGCCAGCCAGGAAAGCCGTCATACCATTGTGTGGCCAAGAGCTGCTGACAGTTTGGCTGCGCCACAAACTGGAGGGAAAAAAAGAGAGAGATTTGTAAATGCTCATGCATAATGGCAACCGTACGCAGAAGGACCAATTAACTGGGAGAAAAAAGAGCATTATTCATTCCGACAAGAATGAGTAATCTTTCATCTATCCTACAGATGGGTAAAACTACATATTTTCAAAATCCATTTGTTGGTGGGTGGTACGATTGACTAGTTGATCTAGGTGATCTTCAGCCAGTCAAATCTGTATAATTAGGGTCCAACAGATCCAAATCAGATATGTTTCTTAACATTCATAGGACGCATTGAAGTGTTCAAAAAAAAAAAAAAAAAGGATGTTTTCAAATGTACATATGCCATCTTAAAAAATGCAACACTAATGGTGCAAACTTTTAAACTTGTTTAAAAATTGTGGGGGCTCTGTTTGATGCATTAATAGAAATTATACACAATTTGTGATGCATGGATTTATTTGTGATATGTGCATTTATGATTCAAATACAACAATTAACTTTTTTTGTTTTTGTGTCATGATTCTGGCCTGTGTTCCCTGTTTTTCATGTGGACTTTTAAGTTGCTTCCTGTCTGGTGTGTCTTTGTAGCCAGTCTGTAGTTCTTTTGGCTTCCTTTATTACTCCCTGATTGTGTTTAAGTGTGTCTTGCCAGATTGTGTATTTAAACCTCTGTATTTCTATGTCAGGTTTTGTCCAGGATGTTATGTTGGCTTCTTCAGTTCTGTGCCTGTTTTTTGGCTCCTGCTCCTTGTCCTTGGATTAGCTTTGCCATCATCTGACACTCAAAGTTAACATTTAGAAACACTCATAATTTAATAGCAGTTAAACGTAATCTAAGCAAATATTACAAAAATATCCATTATTAATGCGATACATTATAACACATGCCTGAATTCACTTGTATATTTATTTTAGTTTTTAGCTTTTGATTTGTAATTTTAATTTAGACAAAATATCATTGTATTTTAATTTTAACAATGTATTGGTTATCGGCCACAATTAGAAAATCATTTTCTTTGTAATAAATTTCTTTGGGATTCTTTGTAGCAAACTAAATTTTCATGCAGCTGCACACTATCCACTGTTGATAATATATTTTATTAAATATTGCATGAGATAAAATTGTAATATTACAAATTAAATCAAATATTTCAGTTGATGTTGGTTATATTTTGAATGGATTCAATGTGAGAGGAGAAAAATGCCTGAAAACGCTAAAATAAATATCACACCAAGGATGGAAATAATTCACAAAATAAAGTTGAAAACAATGTTTGTTTCATGGTTAGCTGTAGAACTTTATTACTTGGGTTAAGGGATAACAGATTGTTACCCTGTGTGTATTTAAACCCATGTATTTCTATGTCAGGTCTTGTCCACTGTTGGATGTTGTGTTGGCTTCTTCAGTTCTGTGCCTGGTTTTTCTAAGTTCACCAGCATAACAGGTTTACACCCTAATTTCTCCATTACAGCCAAGTGATGTAAATATATGTTGAGAATCGGCTAAACCAAATCCTTAAAATGAACCAGCAGTTCAAAAGAACAGTTAGTTCACAAATCAGACATCACTGCTTTACACAGATGACCAAAAGAAGTACCCAAATGAAAGTTACTGTCTAGATTTACAAAAATGATACATCTAGTACTGTATGTATTTATTGCATAAACATTTTTATCATAAACATCGCTTTAAAGAACAGACAAATACTGTGATTCATTTCTCTGCATTTGTTGTTGATTGAACCATTTGTATTAACACATTTAGCTCTGAAATGTCACTCATGGTTTGCAGCTGAATAAGAATGTGGTGACAGGAAGACAGACAGAACTGGCAAATGCAAACGGCACTATGATTATTAAATTCCTAAAGGAAAGGTTTACTCGTCTTGTTTATGCCATTCCAAACCCCTCTGACTTTCTTTCTTCCATGGAACACAAAAGGAGAAATTTTGCTTAACAAAATGGTCGAAGCATGCCGTGACAATGAAAGGGAACTGGAGCTGTCAAGCTTCAAAAAGTACACAAAAGTATCATAAATTGGTACATTAGTATATTCTGAGTCCTTGATACCTTTGTGTAAGGAACAGACCCAAATGTAAACCGTTAATCAATTAAAAACTTTAAAGCTTCTAAATTGTCCTTTAGAAACTTTAAACTCTTCATTTACTTTCATTATATTAAAAAGATTGGCCAGGAAATACATAACAAATAATACTAAGAATAAATAAATACACACATACGTTATATAGGTTTGCAACAACACAAAGGCAATTCAGTTATGACAAAATATTCATTTTATGGTTAACTATTTCTTTAATGATGCAAAAAGTATCTCTATTATCAATCATTCTCAAAGAAGCAAGTGGAGGATAAATGGAGAAAAGCTCCTTCAGAGTGTAAACAAACTAATTACCAGTTTAGTGCATTGCTGTAGGAGACTTGCTTGTAAAAGAGCATCCTCAGAAACATCTGCTTTGAAATGAAGCGAGCCAAGAATTGACTCGCCTCATATTTCATAGCACATTTGTAATAAGTTATCTAGTGGCTGTAATGGAAAATGCCGCGTGGGATGACAACACTGCATGATAGATGAGTAACAACTCTTTCAAAGATTTAAAACTTTCCATTGTTTCAGTAGCAAGCCTGAGAAAGCAGCGGCTACTGAACCAACAGTGCCCCTCTGAATATCCACAGTTAATCACTGGTAAATTAGGTTATTAAATAAAAAACTAGCAAAACGAGTTGCGCGGTGTCCCCACCACTTTTCAAAGCAAAGTTATGCCACTGCAATCAACCTCCACTTAATGAAGTAAGCTAATAGAAGCACCTGAACCCCAGGGAGGGGGCGTGAAAAAGGGGAAAAAGGACACAAGAGTGAATTTAACAAAGAGCTTTGAGAAAGGAGATAGGACAGTAATTTCCTTCAGGTTTGATTTTATAATGAACCGCTTGTGAGGTTGGCTCGTTTCCCTATGCCTGACTTGTTGGTATTTCTTCCATGGTGTGAGGGTAACGCTAGCAATAAGCTAAATCCCTTCTTCATCCATCAATATGAACACTAACCTTCAGGCGGCCCTTTAGCTAACAACACCATTCCTCAACCTGCCCACGGAATGAGACTGATAACATCCCAGCCAGCATGCACCGCTACAGACTGTAGTAATGACTTACAACACATGGCTCGCAAGTAAATAAATGGCATCTTGTATTCTGATCTGTGAGAATGGTCTGGATGCCGTTCATATGTACCTCAACACTGCATTGAAGATAAATGAAACTGGATCACTGTAAAGATGGATGAGTCTGCTGTAGTAGTTTGCTAGACTTTGATATGAATGAAGTGAATGAATTGTTCTTGCTCACTTCCATGCAGTCCTGGGGAGTAAAAAACTAAAACCAGTGATGCTAGTAAACTAACTACATTTTTCAGTACCATGACAGAAGCTCAGCTACATAATAGGTTTTACAGCTTATTTTACCATGAGTAAAGGTTTGTTGACAGACAATGACTGAATGAAAGGAGGCATGTTGTTCACTCTGTTTGGCAAGGAGACAAACAAAAGTGCACTGAAGACCAGTCTTACTTGTGTACATAGCACTATCCTCAATTTATGGATGTGGATAAATGAATAATGTCCATACACAATAAAAATGACGTCAAAGAAGAGTAGCCTTTTGAAAATGCACTGCTTTTGTTGAACAGTAAGTTTCTATGGAAGCTTATTTCCAGAAGTTAATGGAGGCTAACTGGAGAAAAAAAAAATAGATCTGCTTTGTTTTCATTTGTGTAGAAAATGCTTATGTTACTGAAACACCATTTCTCAAATCTCTCTGTACAGAGATTTCCAATTAGGGGTAGTTTGCAAAGATTTTAGTTTTGCTTTGTTGAAGCTATTACACAGAAATTATGACTGAATTGCATTTCATTTATAAATAAACTTGTTTCTCAATTATTGCCCATAGAACTGTCAAAACCTGTGAAAGAAAAAAGCGGTGGCTCTTTAAAAGATTAGTTCACTTCCAGAATAAAAATTTTCTGACAGTTTACTCACACCCATGTCATCCAAGATGTTCATGTCTTTCTTTCTTCAGTCGAAAAAAAATTAAGGTTTTTGAGGAAAATATTCCAGGATTTTTCTCCATATAGTGGACTTCAATGGGAACCAATGGGTGAAAGGTCTAAATTGCAGTTTCAATGCAGCTTCAAAGGCATCTACATGATCCCAGCCGAGGAATAAGGATCTTATCTATAATGAAAAGATCGGTCATTTTCTAAAAAAAAAATAAACATGTATATACTTTTTAACCATAAATGCTTGTCTTGCATTAGCTTGATCTAACGCATTATGTAGTCAAAGGAAAGGTCACGCGTGACGTAGGCAGAAGTACCGACTCCGTGTTTACAAAGCAAACGTGCAAAGAAAGTCAAATGCCCTTTACAAAAAAACAAAGGTAAAACAATGGTGTCGGACCATTTTGATGTTTGATGTTGAGTTTTTCACCCTACCCTACCTTTTTGAACCGGAGTACACAGATGAAGAACTACCCATGTGTGACTTTTCCAACGTGATTGTGCAATGCATGAAGTCACAAATGTGCATCGCTAGATCAAGACAAGCATTTGTAGTTAAAAAGTATATACATTTTTATAAAATGACCGTTTGGCTAGATACTGTAAGACCTTAATTCCTCAGCTGGGGTAACGTAGAGCTCTTTGAAGCTGCATTGAAACTGCAATTTGGACATTCAACCTGTTGGCTCCCACTGAAGTCCACTATATGGAGAAAAATCCTGGAATGTTTTCCTCAAAAATCTTACTTTCATTTTGACTGAAGAAAAAAAGAAATAAACATCTTGGATGATATGGGGGTGAGTAAATTATCAGGAAATTTTTATTCTGGAAGTGAAATACTCCTTTAAAAGTGAGTCCTTAGCCATCTTCAAAAAATGACTAAAACACATCTGTTCCATCTTTATTTGACCCTCTAGCACTTTCTATTCTATTT